TGATGTCATTAGACCACACCCCTTCTCATTACAGAGATGCACATCACCTAATATGCTTTATTGGTAGTAGGCTTTCGAGCCTATACACCTTGGAGTAAGACAACATGCATGAAGAGGATGATGTGGACAAAATACTCATTTGCCTAATAATTCTGCACTCCCTGTATAACTAAGGGAGGGTTTAGGGTAATCTAATAACTACAAGCTTTTTCAAAAAGTAAAGTTTTAAGCCTAATCATCAAAGTAGAAAGAGTTTCTGTCACCCGAAGCCAAACTAGGAGCTGGTTCCAGAGAAGAGGGGCCTAAAAACTGAAGGCTTTGCCTTCCATTCTATCTTTAAATAACCTAAAAACCACTTATAAGGCAGCAGGCCAAGAGTGGAGTGCTCTACGATTGATTTGACGCTATACAGGGCTCTAGAATGCGACCAATTTGGTCGGAAATACAACCTAATTTCTCAATGGTTCGACAAAAAAAAATCCTACATTGTTGGAGCATTACGGCTACTGTAGTCAGGAGCGTCGCAGATTAATACGTACTGTGCTTCAACATAATATTACTATATTCTGTGTATTGTGCACCCCAAAAATGGCACCTGTTAAGAGACATGCTTACAAAGCGGATTTCAAACTCTTATCAGTCACTAAGTAGAACATGAGAATAAAGCAGCTGCGAGAGAATTCAACATTCATGAATCAATGGTATAGAAGTGGAGGAAGCAAGAAGAATGAGTTGACTAAAGTTCATAATCCGGTGTGTCTTATGGTCCAAAAAATACGGTAATTTATCTTCCTTGTAGAAATGTGCTCCAAATAAAGAACGTTGTGTTGACAAGACTGTTAGTTAATCATTTACAAATCAATATTGTCAGTATGGACAGCAATTTTTAAAAAAAATGAACATCTAAAGTTGCGTTGTTAAGTGATGTGGTTGAAAAATTTAGGTGCACCTAATTTTTGCGCTGGTGCACCTAAGACAGAAAGATAAAATTGCACAGCAGCAGTGTGTGTATATGCTTTCTAATGATACTCCCTAAGGGAAGCATGCATAATGTAAACTATATTGGTCCTGGCATGGAACCCTGAGTAACTCCAGAAATAAACTTAATGCTTGAAGAGGACTATATATTTAAATGAAAAATTCTGAGCCTGTTACATGTGACTGACACCACCGCAGCCTTTAATTTCTATGGTATGCTCTAATTTCTGTAACAAAATATTGTGGTCAACAGTATCGAATTCTGCACTGAGCAGTGGGACAAGCACAGAGACGTGCCACTGCCAGAGGCCATGAGAAGATCATTTATAACCCCTACTAATGCTTTTTTGTACTGTGATGAATTCTGAAACCTTAGTGAAACTCTTCAAATAAACAATTTCTCTAAAGATGATCAGTTAGCCGTTTTACAACTACTTAAAGATTTTTTTGAGATTAAAAGGAAGGTTGGAAATTGGCCCCTAGCTGGATAAAGTGATGGCCTTTTAAGTAATGGTTGAGTTACTCCCAGCTTAAAGGCCTTTGGTACGTAGCCCATTAATAGATATAGGTTGATCATATTTAAAATTAAGATATATGTCGCAATGGCATGACATCTTTGAGTTGTAGGAAGCAATTACTGAAGATCAGCTGGAGAAAGACAGATAGAAATCAGATAGAATCAGATAGGAACTCTGAGTGTGGACCAGGCGGACAATAGATAGACAACAACTAATTAAAACTCTGATGTATGGTTAAGGTGGAGTAGTGGAGATTGCTGTCACTCCCTCACCCCAGCCTGTGCTATCAGTTAGTATTAGTCAGGCATGTTAATTCATTCATGGACTTAGAAGAGAGATATCTGATGTTAATCCACAACAGTTTTTTTTTCATTGCAGTTTTGAATAGTATATTGTTACTTTTTTGTGATTTTCTTTTAATGTTTAAATCATTTATTTTTTTGCTGATGTTTGGTTTGTTTTTGGTGGCCTGTGAGCAGATAGTGTCTATGGGGATGGAGTTGATAACATGGTTTGTTAAATGTGGTAACAAGAGGAGAGAAGCTGCAGAGAGGTGTGTGTAACTCTGCAACTCTGCTTCCGGGTCCCAACTCTGTACAGTCTTTTTTTTTTTTGTTATGTGATATTTGTTATTTTTTGTTTTTTTGTTTTGTTGTTGTTGGTTTTTTTGGGGGGAGGGCAGGCTGCTACATCCAAATTGAAATGGATGTAATCGTTCCTAAGACCAGTTTTTCCAGAGAAACTTTTCCAGTCATCAATAAAGCTCAAATTGGTTTTAGACAGTCAGCAATTTTGGGAGAACATGCCAAATATCTCACACATGGTCCAGTTTGGGTGGGGACCAGAAAAAACTGCAGAGTAGGGCTGGGCCATACCGTTCACGGTAATACTGGGCAACAATGTCATAATGTCGGGCAACAATAAGAAAATGAAATATCGTGATAGAATATGGGTAAAACCCGCATGCGCAGTGCCTTTGTTTTCATACGCAAATGGCAGAAAAAGCGTGCCGGCAACAGAGAATGAGAAGGGCGAAAGCGGATCGGTGAATGAAACGGATGAAACAGAATTGGTTCTATGTTGCAACTTCAGTGGTGTCGCACTGGTTTAGCTTTCGTCCGTCAGATACACAACAAAGCACTATTTTTGGTAGCGCATGCTAGCGGGCCGTCGTTATTACCATGTTTTTTGGAAAATATGGCACACTTAAAATCAATCCTTTGAGTTTTCTGAAAATCGACAGTGCCCCTTATAATCCCATGTGCCTTATGTATGAATTCTGGTTGTGTTTACTGAACTCGAAACGATTATTTGTGGTACACGGTGCTGGAAAATGTTTTAATACGACTTTGCTAAGCTACGAACGGAGTGATACGCACTGTGCTTCAACATAATATTACCGTATTGTGTGTGTATAACCTCTTTTTAATTTTTTATATGGTTATGCTGAGGATATGTCGGCCAATTTCCACTGGAAATGCCTTTTGGGTAAACTGTCAGCAAGGATTTTGCATTTGCACTGTTAAATTTTTATATAACTTTAATGCACATAAAAAACAGCTGCTTTTTTAATTGATTTTTTTTTTTTTTTGCACGCATAAAGTTGTGGAGTTGTAAAGTATTTTGCCTAGTGTCAGTTATATCGTCACTTATATCGTTAATTATATTGTTATCGCAAATTTTCAAATGTATATCGTGATAAATATTTTTGGTAATATCGCCCTGCTCTAGAGTCCGGCATTGTTGTAGCAAAGTTGCACACTGATTCAATGTTAATTTTACTTGCCTGCAATTGACATTCTTGCCAACATGAATTATATATTTTTGCAGAATTTACATTTGTCGTTAGCCAGCATTTTCAGGGTTCCTTCAGTGCCGTGGAAGATAATTCCCTCGCTCGTGTTGGTGCTGAAAGACATTGTATTAATTTTTCAATGCTGCTCTGAGAAACACATTATATGACAGAAATAGTGATCTTGATGATGATGATATTCAGTGCCACTAATGAGCATTATCACGGTCTGATGATCTTTCTTTGCAGTGAACAGTATTGATTGTGAAACAGTGCCCATAAATGAGAAGACCCTGGAGGATCTAGGCCCAAGTGGGCCTAAACCCATCCTGCCTTACAGTTCAATGTTCATCTTTGGACAGACCAATCCGTGAGTTCTGAGCTCTGCTTCCTCCCTCCATATGGTTATAAGGTGCTACCACACTGAGCCATCACAACATCCTGTGAATGTTAGCCAGTGTAGCTCTTGGGTGGTATTTTATTTCATATCTGTAAAAAAGAACATATTGCATGTCTTACTAAAAGCCAATCTCATGGTACAGATGAGTGCTGACAGGCACCAGTTGTATATAGCATTTTAACACTGCTGGAGTGTGGGAAGGGACAAGAACAGTGAAGCAACAGCAAGTACTTACTTCTTTTTTCTTGGCCTCTTTTTCCTCAGGGTGAGGCGGTTGTGTCACTATATTGTGACTCTGCGTTATTTTGAGATGTCCATCCTGGTTGTCATTGCGATGAGCAGTATTGCTCTGGCAGCAGAGGACCCTGTCTGGACTAATGCACCCCGCAACAATGTGAGACACAGAGTACACAGTAATAAAACTACATACAATACCCACTGTACTCATACAGAACTGAGAGAAGTATATTTTCTTATCTTTTCTTCTGCCTGAGTCAGGTTTTTTATATACATTTATATATATTTTTTGTCTGTGTGTGGCGCCTAAAAATGGGGCCATACATCTATGATAGATTATTATATACTGGATTATTACGCAAGTAGAACTATTTCAGAATAGTATCTACAGTTTCTTTTCTACTTTGTTGTCTTTGTCAGTATTAATCGAGTCTTTTTACAGGTGCTCAAATATCTGGACTATGCCTTTACTGGTGTTTTCACTTTTGAAATGGTGATCAAGGTAAACACTAATACCATTTGAAATTCACTATTGTTCACTGTATTTAGTATGTGTTTTCATTATATTTTATCAGAAGCAAACTGGTGAGTCATTTCAGTTTTTACTTGCAGAAACCAAATAAGTAATACTATAATACGATACTGAGGCAGGAATGTACCTCACTGTGACCAGTGCAGTTCACTCAGTATATCTGCTGTGTTATGGTTCTTATATGTATAATCCACAGTATTTAAATCTGACAGTGTTCTGTCAGTGAGAAATTTAACACCATATTTAATCGCATTTCAATATTCATTTAAATCTGCAGTTCATGACTTTTGTCTTACTCTTCTGCCTGTCTCTAACATTTTTTTGTTATTTTTTTATTTTTTGTCATACACTATTACCATTGTAATAGTGGATACTCATTATCAGCAAAAGTATAAACAGAAGAAAGTCCTTATAACAGTTGATTTTAATAGGTAATTTTAAGTTAAACAAAATAAGCAAAAGAACATAAATTACCTGTTCTTGGTTTAGATGGTAGACCTGGGGCTATTGCTTCATCCTGGATCCTACTTCAGAGACCTGTGGAACATCCTGGACTTCATAGTGGTCAGTGGGGCACTGGTGGCATTTGCTTTTTCGTAAGTTCCACAGCTTCTGTCTTTCTGTGATAAAATGAGACATTTACAGATATTGTTAATCCTGAATCTGGTGTGTTATGTGCAATATACATCAAATACCACACTACACTGAGAGATGACATATAATTTAAATGATAGTGCGTACCTTTGGTTAGCCAAATATACAGTCATAGCTACAGTCAAGTTTTGATAGTGGCAAAAACTGTGTTTTATATACTGTACTGGTTCAGTTTTCATTTAATTATTTTTACATGTTTCTAAGTGAAGAACAATCATTTACATTTCATGTTTTGCTTGTTTACCTGTTTTTTTTAAAGATTCTCTTAGGTATGGATCCAAAATGTTAGTTTGATGCTCTCTCAGCCACTTAGTTATCACTAAGTACAGATTTACATAATTTCAGCAAATTGTTTCTTATTCACTGGAAGTGGCTGGACAATCGAAAAGCTCACAAACTGATCAACTCTGAGCACTGATAAGGCAGGATTGAGTCACCTTTATTCAGGTTTTGGTCCAGAAGCTGATATTGAGCATGCCACAGCAAACTGGAGAAATTATAAAGAAGAGGTGTCATAACTATAAGTACTGTCTCTTTGCATGAATTTGATTGTTTGTTTGTTTTTTGCCAAGGAACTCTTTGAAGCTTATGAAATGATTGCGATTATTTTTCACTATATCATTGAAACAAATGGCAAAATGTATGAAACACAAAATTTGTTCCTGTGCCAAAACGTTTGCCTTGACCACAAACACTATACACATACACTAACCTTACAAAAGCAGATGACCTCTTTATGTATGTGTGAGAGGTGTGTATGAGTGTGTGTGTGTGTGTGTGTGTGTGTTATGATATTGTACAATGTGCTAATTTACATAATCCTCTCCCTGTTTCTGTCCTGTTATCGTTTTGAAGGAGCTTCATGGGGTAATGCCTCCTCTAACTCTCTCATCTTGCCTGTTTGTGTCATTATCAGTGTGTATGTATGTGAGAAAGAAAACATACATGGCTTACACTGCAAAAACAAGTAATTTCCTCACATACTCGGTCTTACTTCTTGACATCTAGGTCACAAAGTATAAAGAAATTAAAGTTAAAATTAAAGTCAAATAATCTAAATTTGTCTTTTTTAATACACCAACAACAATCTACCCTGTTTACTATATGGAAATGTATTTGGCCACAATTCTATGAGGGAAACCGGACAAACACAATTTTCAAACTGTATAGAAATTTAAGCCAATACATTTTTCAGCATCCTTTTGTGAGTAAGATTAAATTAACTGCTAACAAAAATATTTTTCTGTTAAAATTGCCCACTTGTTTTGAATCATGCCAGAAGCTAGGGCAAATCCATTTTACACAGAACACAGTTATATTAAAAAGATTGTAAAATAGTGATTGTTGAAGGAAACAATCAGCAATGTCAGAATGACAAATTACCACCCTTATCTGTTTTGTTTTATTTTCTTTTGTTTGTTTGTTTTTGTTTAAGCAGTAAGCAGTATATGTAGTGAAATTGCTTGTGAGAATGTATCTTTTTGGCAGTGTGTAATGTTTTGTTTGGGACACACGCATCTGGTCCACCAGCTATTCATGCGTCATGCAGATTGAGAACCTGGTTCCAGCAGTGTATCGTGTTGCTTGGCATCAGGTCCTTGCTCTATAGCCATTTGTGCTATTTGGGGACATGGCACGATAGTGCTCATATCTCGTATCTTCCCTGAGCCTTTGAGAGGTGTTTTTATCAGCACTGTGTTTTGCCACAGCTTTGGTTAGACTGGAATGATCACATTAATTTCATATTAATTGTTCAGCAGAGACTTGTTAACATTACAAGAAAACTGGTGCCAGTGGGCACGAGTAGTCGTCAGAGAATATTGAGCTCGTAGCATGCGGATTAGAGTGTGCATGCTAGTACCATGTGACTGTATGCGTGCTTGTAAATAGAGGTGTTAAATGACAATCCTGTGACTGTAGTGTCACATGATTTCCATCTACACCGAAATGATAGGCAGTACTTTGCAAAGGTCTTGAGCCTGCCTTATTTCTTCATATTTTAAACGTAGATAAAAATTGGTGCAATGTCTTATATTAAATCATGTGGACATATACATTGAAATACAGTATATAAGTACACAGTGGGATGCAAAGGTTTGGGCAACCTTGTTAATAGTCATTATTTCCCTGTATAAATCGTTGGTTGTTACAATAAAAAATGTCAGTTAAATATATCATATAGGAGACACACAGTGATATTTGAGGAGTGAGATAAAGTTTATTAGATTTACAGAAAGTGTGCGATAATTGTTTAAACAAAATCAGGCAGGTGCATAAATTTGGGCACTGTTGTCATTTTATTGATTCCAAAACTTTTAGAACTATTTATTGGAACTCAAATTGGCTTGGTAAGCTCAGTGACCCCTGACCTACATACACAGGTGAATCCAATAATGAGAAAGAGTATTTAAGGGGGTCAATTGTAAGTTTCCCTCCTCTTTTAATGTTCTCTGAAGAGTACACGCACACACACGCACACATCCTCCAACCACACACACCCATATTTTGCTCCATTGCGGTTTCTTTCACACCTCAAACATTTAGTAAACAATTAAGCAAATACAAGTAATCTGCGATAAATTGCAGGTAGTAAGAAAATAAACTACTAACTCTTTTACGCTACATCCGCACCTACACGAGTATTTTTGAAAACACAGCTGTTTCGTCCACACGTAAACGACGTTGGGAATCACCGAAAACGGAGATTGAAGATGAATTGCAGAATGGCAGATAGAGACAAAATACTGTTAATCTTACTGTCTGCAGGTTTTACACGCTTACATACACACGCAGTTACTGTCCCTCCATTTACAAAGGCAGAGGCGTCACGGTGTGATTATTTTACGTGTAGTTGTTTTTTTTTCTCCTGTGTAATAATATTCAACATTGCTATCAATGCATTTTTCAAAAAATGCCTCTCTGTGCAAAATAGGTTTAAAAACATAAACAGCTGTGGGATACTGTTTGTCCGTGATTTGAACCGAGGGAACAAATCGTGGCAGGATCTGCCTGATATTATTTGTATCCCACTGTAACTTTACTGTATAAAGTATAGTATCATGGGGTAATGCCTCTCCAAAATGTCAGGAGTAGTTAGTCAATACAAGAAGTGTTTGTGAACTAAAAATCAAGAATGTGAGATACTGTTTGTCCGTGATTTAAACAGCCCAGCGCTGCTCCCGACGAAGGGAAAACCAATTCTGCAGGGGAGACCTACCTCGGCACTTGTGCAGGTGAAACCAAAGGGAAGATATGCTTCACCATATTTTCTAGTCTTTGGCTTAGAATGAAGTTGGTTTGGAAACATATTCAGCTATGCTTCATCTCCTGCTTTGCGTTTCTGTAGGCGCCCCGTGCTCGCAGTGTCCAAGCGTTTTGTTTTTTTCCCCCCCTTGTCATCCCGCGCCCTCCCCCTGCTATGGCTCTGCGCGCCCCCTAGGGGGCGGGCGCCACACTTTGGGAAGGTCTGGTTTAGGGGAAGGATACAGAAAGCTTTCTCAGAGCTTTAAGCTGTCTGTTTCCACAGTTAGGAACATATTGAGAAAATGGAAGACCAAAGGCTCAGTTCAAGTTAAGGCTCGAAGTGGCAGACCAAGAAAAATCTCAGATAGACAGAAGCGACAAATGGTGAGAACAGTCAGAGTTAACCCACAGATCAGCACCAAAGACCTACAACATCATCTTGCAGGAGATGGGGTCACTGTGCATTGTTCAACCATTCGGCGCACTTTACACAAGGAGTTGCTGTATGCGAGAGTGGTGCAGAGGAAGCCTTTTCTCCACCCACAGCACAAACAGAGCCGCTTGAGGTATGCTAAACCAGCTTCATTCTGGCATAAGGTGCTGTGGACTGATGAAACTAAAATTTAGTTATTTGGGCATAACAAGGGGCGTTATGCATGGAGGAAAAAGAACACAGCATTCCAAAATAAAAACCACCTGCTACCTACAGTAAAATATGGTGGTGTGGCCAGTGCAGGGACTGGGAATCTTGTCAAAGTTGAGGGACACATGGATTCCACTCAGTATCAGCAGATTCTGGAGATCAATGTCCAGAAATCGGTGACAAAGCTGAAGCTGTGCCGGGGCTGGATCTTTCAATAAGACAACAACCTGAAACACTGCTCAAAATCCACTAAGGCATTCATGCAGAGGAACAAGTACAACGTTCTGGAATGGCCATCTCAGTCCCAAGACCTGAATATTTTTGAAAATCTGTGGTGTGAGTTAAAGAGAGCTGTCCATGCTCAGAAGCCATCAAACCTGAATGAACTAGAGATGTTTTGTAAAGAGGAATGGTCCAAAACACCTTCAACCACAATCCAGACTCTCATTGGAACCTACAGGAAGCTTTTAAAGGCTGTAATTTCTGCAAAAGGCAGATCTACTAAATATTGATTTTATTTTATTTATTTTTTTTGTGGTGCCCAAATTTATGCACCTGCCTGATTTTGTTTAAACAATTATTGCACACTTTCTGTAAATCCAATAAACTTTATTTTACTTCTCAAATAACACTGTGTGTGTCTCCTATATGATATATTTAACTGACATTTTTTATTGTAACAACCAAAGATTTATACCGGCAAGTAATGACTATTAACAAACTTTTGCATCCCACTTATCAGTATACTTATAAATATATAAATACGGTGTATAAGGCAAAAATTATGTTTGTACAAAAAGCCAATATTTTTGTATTGGCTTTTTGTACAAAAAAGCCAATACAAAAATTAAGTGCCTCTTGACAATAAACATCTTTATTTATTGTCAAGAGGCACTTAACCATCTTAGGCAAGCTTTCTTTTAATTTCTCTGTAGTTTTCAGGAATAGTTCTACAGGCTTCCTAAAGGACATTAAAAAAAAAACCCTCCTCTTTGGATTTTGACTGCCTTTTGTTCCATTCTCTGTTCAGATGATCCCATGTTGCTTAAATAATGT